TGTGCATATTTATACATATTTATATTGTGTACACACCCACACACACCAGAACAAAAATTACTTTGTATTTACTAGACAATCTATTAGGCATTTCATGATGTCCTCCCTAACCCTGCCTCCTTAATAAAAGGAATTACTTTATATTTACTATCTATCTAGATATAGATATGTATATCTATGCGCATACATGTATATGTGTAGATATATACATGTGCAGTAAATACAAAGTAATGTCTATTGTATATTTGTCTATATCTATGTATATGTGTGTGTATATACATACACTTATACATATGTAAATAAAATACAAAGTAATGTCAGTTGTTGAGGAAACAGGGTTAGGGAGGAGACTGGGAAAGGCCTCCAGTAGTAGGAGACTGTACTTGAGCTAATCCTTGAAAGAAGTTAAGAGGAGATGAGAAGGAGGCACGGAGAACAGCCCATATGGGGAGATAGAATGTTGAGTTCAGGGAACAAGTAAAGTTTGTCTGGAACAAAGCATGCATGATGTCAGTCTAGAAAGATAGGTGGGAGACAGATTGTGAAGGGCTTTAGATACTAATCATCTGACCACCTGAATGGCAAAAGGAAAAAAAAATGGAGTTTTTTCCCATTGTTTTTATAGCAATCAAGCTTCCCTCCTTCCCAATATCCATCCATTCATCCATGATATATATATCTGAAAAAGCAAAGTGATGCTGATGCATAATTTACTGAACTAGTTGAATCCCAAATTAGACAGTTGATCCACAAAAATATCAAGCTATGTAACTGTATATTGAAGGAGCTACTGTGTTGTTGGGCTATGTAAGAGCACCCTTTCCTCCCTCTTGCCCGTGGAATGGCCAGTAATTAAACTGGGATGATCCCACAAACAAAGTCAATGGTCTAATGAATTTTTTTTTTTAGTGCTTTAAGGAGTTTAGAAGAAAGGCAGGCCCTTAATTCAATTTAATAATTGTTGAGCTAGCACCTGTTATAGTGTTATAGGCTTCCAATCTCATTTATGAGACAGGATTTACATACAAACACACATACAAAGATATATAAAATACTATATTGATTATGAGAGGCAGTGTGGGATGGAGGATTGGACTTGGAGTCAGAAAGACCCTGGGTTTAAATGCCAGCTCTGACACTTATAAGCTGTGTCATCCTGAGCCAGTCACTTAACCTGTCTCCATATCATTTTCCTCATCTATAAAATAGAGATAACAATAGTATTTATGCACATACCTCATGGGATTGTTGTGAGGATTATGCCCTTTTCAAACCTTAAAGCACTATATAAATGGTAGCTACTATTATTAATGCTGTATAGTGATAAGGCCTAGGTTTCAATTCTTACTCTGCCTTTAACTAGCTTTCTGACCCTAGGCAAGTTTCTTCACTTCCTTGCCTTTAGTATCTTCATTTGTAGAAGTGAGGTTGCTTCAAACTCTCAGATTCAATAATTGTAGGAAATATTATTGGAGCTCAGAGAAAGAGGACAAACATAGGAGCCTTTATGAAGGAGATAGGACCTGAGGGGTACCTTGAAGGATGAAAAGGATTTGAATTGACAAGGTGGAGGCCATGCCACAATTAAGGGAATGAAATCTTCATTAGAGCATTAGGTGTATCTGCCATTCAGTCAGTTAATAGGCATTTGTTTATTATTAACATTTATCATGTTCCAGGCACTGTGCTAAGTACTGGGGTTACAAAGAAAGGTGAAAAACAGTCTCTGCTCTCAAAGAGTTCATATTTTAATGGAGACAATATGTAAATTATTAGGCACATCCAATACATGTATACATATATGTGAGCAGTTTGCTAAAATAGTAGTAAAAATGTTGAACTTGGATTCAAGGGAAATCTGGGTTCAAGTCCCACCTTTGACAAATGTGTGTGTGTTTGTGTGTGTGTGTGTGTGTGTATACACATACTTAGTGTGTTATTATTATATATATATATATTATTGGAGAGTGGGGGGAGAGAAAGAGAGAGAGAGAGAGAGAGAGAGAAACTTGAGATAATGTAAATGTGAAAGCCAATTGGAAGGGTCAGGGGAAGGGCTGGAACAGAAGAAGAACCAGGAAAGGCCTGTAGAAGAAAGATAGGATCTGAACTGAATCTTAAAGGAAGCAAGAGACACTAAGAGGGGAAAGGGCAGGGGAAGAGCATTCCAGATAGGCAATGAGTGTAGTATTTGAGGAACTGAAAGTAGGCCAGTGTAGCAGAATCCTAAAGTATTTGGAGGAGATAAGACCAGAAAGGTAGAAAGAAGCTGGCTTATGAAGAGTTTTAAATCCCTAATAGAAGACTATATTTGGTCCTGGAAGTAATAAGGAGCGCCTGGAGCTCAGTCTGTAGTAGGGGCCACAAATGTGTGAGAATTGAGGTTCCTATAGCCTTTTGGGAAAAGTCAGACATTGGAAATGATTTGATGCCATCAGACCTGCAACAGCTGAAATAATATGTGGGAGAAAGTCTGGAATCTTGCTGCAGTATTGTAGAGCAAGTTATCCAGGAGTGTGGGGAGCATGCCAAGTAACTTCACCCCAGAAAACCACAGGCAGGCTCTTGGCTCCCAGGCTCTGTGATCTGAATGATAGGTATTATGGCCACAGGGTACTAACATCCTTGGCCCTGGGAGAAGCAGGATGTTGAGCTGGTGAATTCTCTACTCTTCCTAGACTCAGCAAAGAGAATAGAGAGGTTAGCCAAATGGCTGTATTCTTACACTCTGGGTCTTTAAAGAGGCAGCTATACCTCTCCTAACTTTCCTTCCAGCTGCTTCAGCTGCCACTCTTCCCTTCCACTGGGTTCATCACCATGGAGAGACTGGCCAGGAGGAGACAACAGGGACCTGAGGGGGACAAATTTAACATGCTAGCCAAAAAGCAGCCTGGTAAGAGAGGTGGAATAACCATCAGGAGTCCTGAGATCCAGGCTTGGGTCTGCCACTAACTGGGATTTTTCCTCACACAATTCATTCCTCTGTTCACCCATTCCACACCTACCTCAATTTCCTTACCTGTCACACAATGAGTTTGGACTAGATAATCTCTTAGATCTCTTTCTAGCTCTAAACTCCTAAGATTAGCTGATATGAGCTTTTGTCTTTACCTGGTGTGATTACAAAATAATGACACCAACTTTCTTAGAAGGTTTGTAAATATGCAGCATATCTACCTTGAGTGTGGTGGGAGTTGATTAATGTTTGAATTTTAGATGCATCTAGGTGACCTAGTGGACTCCACTGGGGCCTGGAGTCAGGAAGATGAGTTCAAATCCAGCCTCAGAGACTGTGTGATCAGCTGTGTGACATGGGGCAAGGCACTTAACCCCTGGCTATCTCAGTTTCCTCAACTCTAAAAATGGGAATAATAATAATAATGATGATGATGATGATGATGATAATACCTACCTCCCAAGGTTGTTGTGAGCATCAAATGAGATAATATTTGTAAATCGCTTAGCACAATGCTTGACACAATGCTTAATAAATGCATCTTTCCTTCCTTCATTTCCAAAGAGCAGTTTCAGAAATGATCTGGATAGCGACAACACAATGCAGCTGTTATTTTGTACAAGTTCAAAAATTCCATAATTATGTATTGCCCAATGGCATTGTGCTCTGTGTGTGTGTGTGTGTGTGTGCACGTGCTTTTAAATCAATCTCATTCTATTTTAGTCCCACCTCATACTTTAAGGATCTGTCATTATTATTAAACACTAACATGGATGCCACAACAAAGGAGTGTGTGGAATTTCTCACTCCAGAGGTACTTAAAACAGAAGAGATGCCCATTGGCTGGGGATACTTTACAAATTGTTACATAAATATAATTGCTATTATCTTTACTCTTGTTGGTTAGTATTTATCTGGAATAAGCCGCCAAGCACAATGAACAAGAGTCCATCTAAAAGCATCAAAGAAACAAAGTAGCTGCCTCTGACATTTAATAGCTGTGGTATTATGAGCAAATCACTTAACCACTTTGAGCCATGATTTCTTTGCCTGTAAAATGGGAAGAGTATTGCCTGTAGTATCTACCTTATAGGGTCATGGTGAGTACCATGAGATCATAGGTTTAGAATCTGAAGGAGCTTTGAGGTCATCTGATCCAACCCCTCATTTTTCATATGAGGAAACAGGCCCAGAGATGTCCTCTGACTCTGAAGCCACTGCGCCATTGGCTGCCTCCCTCCCATGAGATTCTATATTGTAAAGTCATTGGAGAAGAGTAGCTAACATTTGTATAGCACTGTAAGGTTTCCAAAGTGCTTTACATACACATGAACTCATTTGGTCTTCCCAACAACTATTATTACCCCTGTTTTACAGATGAGGAAGCTAGGGCTAAGTGATGCCAAGGGTCACACAGGGTTGCGTGGCTAATAAATGTCTAAGGCAAGATTTGAACTCAGATCTTCCTGTTTCCAAGTCTAGGGCTATAGCCACTGCCTACCTTAAAGTGCTCTATAAATGTCAGTTTTCTTCTTTCTTCTTTATTTAGAAATCAGGCTAGAATAAGGATAACAATAGCATTGACCTCCCATTGTTGCTGTGAGGATAAAATGAGATGATATTTGGAAAACAATTGCAAACTTTAAAGTACTATATGAATGTTATCTGTCATTGTTATTATTATGTTAATAATAATACATTTAAGTGAATAAAAATGAGAAATAAAATGTATAACCGTGGTTCTAATTATAGCAAGCTGCAAGGGACCTTATATCTAGTTCAATGCAGAAAACTGAGCCCTAGAGAGGTTAAATGACTTGTCACTGCTAGTGTGAACAGCAGAGCCAGGACTCAAATTCAGGTCCTTTGACTCCCAATCAGTGCTTTTTTTTCCATGGCACTAATTCGGTCTGCCACTGGGGCTTCAGAGAGAGGGTGGGAAAACCTTTGGGCTGTTTTGAGGGACTGTTCTAGCTCTCCTTGCCACTTTGGAAAAAGACTAATTCTGCTCATGTTAGTGATTTTAGTATCTGCTTCTCACTAGATCTGCCCATCTTGAATGTGCACCACGATGCAACTCCTGGGATTAACGAGACTGAAAAGTGCTCAGGTTGGAAAGGCACACAGACTGGAAGAATGGAAGGAAGAGCAACAGAAGGAGCCAGATCACAGATTCTTCCAAACAGATATTTCCTCAGTGACTGTCCAGCTGCAGTGTTGCACAAGAGGCCAATGCCTTAGTTTAGTACCTTAACTGATCTGGATGCATATTTTTTATGGAAATCCAAGCTTTTCTCTTTCTATATTATTTCTAGCATCAGTACCTTGAAGGGTCAACTTTGGGGGAAAATGTACTTAAGGCTGTTTAGCAATGAACAGTAGTCTATATCAATAATTTGTTGTCAATAAAGCCTAAAGTAGTTGAAATGTTTAGAATTTAGTTGGCCATTAGTTCTAGAGATGCTCTCAGGTGGGGACTCGAAATCAAAAGAATTAAGGAAATGTTCCAGAGGTTTGGTTTGGTAGGTTGTCCCTTTTGTTTTCAATCTGCTTGTCTTCCATTGGTTTTGCAGATCTCTCAACTGTTCTTTGGAAGAGAACTGGAAGAACTTGTGCAAAGAATAACTTAATTATCCAACCCAAGATACTTTGAAAATGATAGTATTATTTGAATTCAACTCCCATAAACCTGTAAAAGCACTCTGTGGAAAGCTAGCCTCTTTTGATTAAAAAAAAAAAAGATTCATTCAAACCTTCTGGAATGTCTTGCCTTTTTTCATCCTTACTTCAATAAGGTTGAGAAAACCAGTTTTAAAGAAATTCAATATTGACCAAGACTATAAGCAGAATGGTAATGCCACTTGGTATTTAGAATTTGGGCTACTGTGGTTTGGTAAATCCTTATGACCCCCAATCTTTCCAGCCTATTAGGCTTATTCAGACCAGCAAACCAGCTAATGATGCCTGTGGACATGGATTAGAAATCAAAGAAACAAGATTGAAATCTGTCAAGCTCACTCCTTTGAAAATTTTGAAAGTTCTCTAAAAAAAGGTGGGGAGGGGTGGCAGGAGAGAGAACTTGTAATCAACAACAACTAACAATAATCTCTTCAAGGTAGGAGACACTTTATGTTTGTTTAAATTCATTCACAAACAGAATTGTCCTTGATCCTTATAAGCCCATCAGATAGGTAGAGCAGGTCTGGGAAAACTGATAGATTAGAGGAATTGAGTTTAAATAGAACTCAGTTGATAAGACAGCTTCCAGATGTACTGAACAGGTTTGCTACTTTTTTGTTTCTTTTCTTGTGATTTCTGGAGATGTGAAATTATGAGAGAGTTCAGTAAAATAGGAGAAAATAAGAACAAAGGGGAAGGTGGAAGGTAAAAAGCTTATGCCCAAGATTTTAGCATGTTTAAACATAGTACACAGAATCAGGAGACCTTGATTCTAGACAAGATTTTTTCACTAACCAGCTATGTGATTATGTGAAGTTACATATTCTTCCTGGGCCTCAGTTCACTTATCTCTAAGGTTGGGAGAACGTGACTGGAGTATGAAATATTATTCAAAAAAAGCACACTGGGCTTCTCCAAAGACAAGACCTGGACAAGTTAGTTTTGTCATCAGAATGGAACATAAGAGAAATGTTTTGCAGTCCTAAGAGATGGTTACTGAGCTATTTTTAAATTGTGTCCTCTCACCCTCAACTATTTTCCAGCATGCTAATGTATTTTATTGCTGAGCCAAGTCAGGAGGCAGGCCTCTTGACAGGCCTTTCCAATTGCTAGGATGAAATGCCATCCGCTGTCAGGAGCTTTTCATTAACTGGAAGAGGAGATGAGGTTTAGTGAATGGGTTAAATCTGATCCTAAGTGAAAGAATCCTTAGCGAGAATCAGAGTTGAAAAGATTACCAACTTGTGTTGAACAAAGTTCTACCTCTTGGAGAAAAGGTAGCTAACATTTAATTTTTTTTAAAAGTTTATGACAGAATCTTTAATAAACAACAAGTAGAGTTTCTAATAGTCTAAGTTTAAATTTAGGCTGCAAAATAGGTTCCATGCCACGTATCTCTATGGACAGAATTAAAAATCAGTAGCGAAATGTATAAAATATGAGAGAAAACTTTCTTTTATATAATCCTTATGAAGCCCTCATTAGCCTCTTGATCCTAACATGACAATTTTCTTCTTTTAGAAAGAAAACATTGCTGTCAATAAAACTTTTAAATGTATACAAACTAAGGTCAGCTAGGCATGGCCCAAGCTGAAGACTGATGGCAAACTTCACTCTCCTTTGATCCTCACCACAACCCTGTGAGGTGTCATTATCCCCACTTTACAAATGAGGGAACTAAGACTCAGAGATAGGAGTGGGGGTGGAGACTTAAAGATCTTCAGAGTCCATAGTTCTTTCCACTATACCCACACTGGAATTATCTAGACAGCCTAGGCTCCAACTGTGCAAGGTGAGCCGGTACAGTCTATCAAGGCATGTATAATAAGTCTCCAAAAATATACTGTCTGTACTTTGCCACAGGCATACATGGTGCTCAAAGCTCACAAGTAGAAGATAAAATACAGCAGCCCACTTCTGACCTTTCTTTAGGGGAGAGTAAAGATAGGGCCAGCCCTAGGCAAAATTAAGAAATCCTCAAAGTTTGTCATGGGTATCTTCCCATCTCTTTTTCAGTGCCCTCTTTCCACCTCCTACCAAGGTCCCAGAGTCCTTCCCTTCAGAAGATTATCATGGTTGGGCAATACCCCATGCTCTGGCTCTTTCTCTCTACCCTTCTAACCAAACTGCTTACTTCTCATTTCATTGTCAATGGTTAGTAGTAAAGGATTTGATAAAGTCACCTAAATTAAGGGGTTAATGACCAGTAACAGCTTAATTCTTTATAATTGATTTTAATTTTTAAATTAATTAGATCAATTTCAAATTCTAATAACAGCTTACCCTTTCTGGAGGTATTTGCATTTTAACTGGGAACAGTTCCTTAACCACAAGAAATGGCTCTCTAATAATGGCTTTCTAATTCAGATGTTAGCTAAATGCCTAAAAAGACCTTCTGGAGTCCCTGGAGTCAAAGCACATCAGTGGATGCCTCCTTTCACTAACAGTGAATATGTGTAAGGCTGGCCCTAAAGATGGGATTCATTCGGTCCGTGTTCTTGAAGGTCTAGGGCGTTCCCTAGGTTCCCTTCCCATGACAAGTAAGATGTGTCATTTGAACAATGCCCTAACTCTTGACTTGGAGTCCTAGTTAGTGAAAACCTGCCCCACTATAGTATAATGCTGTCTCATAAAGAAGTGGCATCTTTGTCATACTTCTTTGAAAAACCAGAAAAGAAAAGATGCTTTTCAGAGAGTGGGGGTGGGAATTTAGGCTTTTCCTTTTCCTATGGATATTTACTCACCTTCCTCTAGAGATGTCACCCTTCCAACACACATGTTGACAGTCACAGGTCATGAATCGTTTGAGTTTGGAGGTTCTGCCCATCATTTAGACTCCCAATGACAGACTAGGCCAGACTAGACTTCCTCTTCAAGGAGAAAACTTTAAGACAGGGAAGTTCAGGATCCTGTTTCAACTCAGAATTGCTTCAGAATGGGCATGGGCTTTAGATCATACCTCCAACCTAACCCTAAATCCTTTTTAGAAGGCCCATAATGCCAGTTATATGTGGGTATATGTGTGTATGTATATATACACATATACATTATATACATGTATATGTGTATATAATATATATGTGTGTGTATCTTTCTCTCTACATATATACATACACACACACACATCTGTAATGATGACTCTTGTGCAAAGCAGACCTGGAAATGGAGAAAAATAGCAAAACCCAGAGAACCTTATGCTAGTAAGGTTCTGTCATGTGTTAAATTAAAAAAAATTATTGATATATTTTGTTTTTACATTAGTCACTTCCAGATATACCTGTCCTTTACTTTCTCCCCCCACTCTTCTTTTCCGCAAGAGTCTTCCCCTTGTGATAAAGAAAAAGTTAAGCAAAACCAGCTGGCACAGAGATCAAGTCTGAAAACAAATGCACCATTCCACACCCATATTCTCCTATCTTTTAATGAAAGGAGGCACATTTTCTGATGTCTTTTCTGGGGCCAAGATTCGTCATTATTATCACACAGCATTCAGTTTCATTTTATTATTCTTTTCCTTTATTGTAGTACTGCATATTGTTTCCCTGCTTATGTTTATTTCATTCTACTTCAGTTCTTATGTTTTCCCATATTTCTCATATCCATCATTTCTTTGTCACAATATTCTATTACAATCATATATCAGAATTTGTTCAACCATTCCCCAGTTGATCAGACTGAGATGCTTGGACACAAACCAAGATGGCAGCCAAGTTGGATTCTACCAAAATGGATTTGGGTCCCTGAGCGGAAGGCCTGATGAATGGATGGGGCCTGAGAATCCCAAAAATGCTCCTGGACCTGAGATCTATCAAGAAAACACTTTGTTTCCAGTGTAGATGTAGTTTACTCTCAGAGCAGCTTCAGGGTCCCCATGGCACAAAGAGAATATTATTCTCTCTTTGCCATCTTATCACTTGGCAAAGGAAAAATCAGCCCTAGATTAGCATCCAGTCCAGCAATGTTAAAGAGGAAATCAGACACAGCTGCCACACTCTCTTTTCCTCAGAGATCCCCACTTTCCTCAGTCTGGGCAATGGAGATACGTGGAGGATGCTTGTCCCAGCATCCTGTCAAAGAGCTGGTAGAAGAATTAGGAATTTCCCCTCTTTCAGGTCAGAAAAAAGATTTTTTCACTTCTCCATTCAGGTGTGTCAGATGACACTCAGCTGCTTATCCTGTGAGTTACACTGAGAAATGCCCTTTCTTACTTGACCCTCCAACCTCGTTCCTAAGAATTCCTTTATCCCTCCTTGCTCCAGTTGTCCTGAGATGAGATCCTCATTTCCCACTTCCATCCTTCCATCCCTGTGCTTTCCTTCCTGATTGAAAAATAGTGGATTTGGTTACAGACGAAATACTATCAGCCATCCCCCTTAAAAAATACTTAACCCATCCCCCAATTAGTGTAACATTTACACAGGGCAACTACTACTAATGTTACCTATAATGCTTCATTACTCAAGTGTTTCTTGGTTATCCCAGCATTAGCTTCCAGTTCTCTGCCTTGAAACTCTTCAGCTAGGAAAGTCAGTGCAAAATGGCATGTCCAACAGTCAAAGTGCAGTTACCACAGTGCAACCAGCTTCTCTGCATCTTTGAGAATTAGACAGCCAAAATCCATAGTTTCGTGGAAGCAGGCAGGGAGTGCCTCTTTCTCTCACCTCCCTCCTCTGCCTCCTGGGTAGCTGAAGGAAAGAGGAAATGCTGCCACCTTTAGTTCACCTTCCAGATCAAATGAATACATCAGAGAGAGTCAGGAGCTGTGTTTCATTGTCACCCTGATGCTGGTCTGATGACTTTTTGCCAAGCCAAGAGGCCTTATGTTGGCAGGAAATCAGGAGGAACATTATCCAGTCTGAGATGTCTGGATACAAACCAAGACGGCAACCAAGTTAGACTCTTCCGGTAGAGATTTGGGTCCCTGAGCTGAAGGTCTGATGGATGGATAGATGAAGCCTGAGAATCCCAGAAAGGCTTCTGGACTTAGTACCTATCAGCAAAAGGAAAAGACTGTTTTGAGAACTAAGCAGACTGAGGGAAGATGGCTAAAGAATCTGGGGTGAAGGGAAGTAAGTATCTACAGGGGCCAGATGTAGGAGATCTGAGGAGTGAGTTTGTTAAGGCTATTCCATTGAAGGTCAGGACATAACTGAACTGGCTTAAATATCAGCATCATCCATTTATAGATGATTAAAGGAACAACTTCGTAATACTAACGTACTGAGAGGCTAATTGGTTTGCCAATGATGACTTAGGTGGTATAGACTTGAACCTAAGTCTCCATGTTCTATGTCTATTCCAAATTGCCTATGAAAACAATTTTGAGCCTGATATTCCTACTTCTTCCCTCTCTCCACCACGGAATCCAAATAGACTAAAAAAGACTGACCATTGGATACGGCACATTCCATCCTTCACCTTAATGACCACCAAGTCTTTCCCCAATTACCTTTTTGAACAATCAATACGCTGTTACCGCAAGCTTATTCGGGAGTCCAGTTGTTGTAAATGTTCCTGAACACCATAAGGAATGGTGGGGTTCCACATCCTGGAAAGGGAGGGCAGGAGACAAGGGTTAGAAAAAGAGAAGAGGGATACAGCCCATGGTACTATCAGATTCTTGTTTTCTGCAGCATCTTTCAGATATAAGTGAGGAGAATGGAAGCATCTCACCTACTCTTAATTAGCAGTCTCCTGATAGTAATGCCAATAAGTACTAAACTAGGTAATGCAGTGGATAGAGTTGAGGATTTGGAGTCTAGAAGAACTGAGTTCAAATCCACCCCCAGGCAATTACTAGCTATATGACCCTGGACAAGTTACTTGACCTCAGTTTCCTCATCTGTAAAATGGGGATAACACTACCATCTACCACGAAGGGTTATTGTGAAGCATTGACATATATAAAGCACTTCGCAAACCTTAAAGGCAATACGTGCTAGCTATTATTATCATTCCTATTAGAAATGAGAAGATCTAAACTCTAAACCTGGCTCAGTTATATGACTAGCTGTGCCCTTGGGCCACTTAATTCACCTCTATGAACCTTAGTTTCATCACCTGTAAAATGGGGATAGTAATTCTTATATTACCTATCTCATTAGACTATTGGAATGCTCATATGTGATTACGTATATGAACACTTCTTAAAAAGAGTATATAAGTGCTACCTAGTTTAGGGGATCATTAGTTCTCCCACATATAGCAACCAGACCTCAGGCTGTCAGGACTTACGCCAGTGTCTCAATATGTGGACATTTCTTCAGACTGGCTGTGAGCTGCTGGGCTCCTGCCCTTGTGAACTTGTTGTACTTAACACTGTGGAGAAAAATCCATTGATTGTTGTTAGTCTTGGGGGCTTAGTGTTATGATGGCAAAGAATATGACCCTGGATCTTGGGTCTGAGCCCAGGGAGCAGCTACCCCAGCAAGACCTACTTCCTATGAGCAGGGAACCGCTTTTACAGAAGTAAGAAAAAAACCACCGACTCATTCAGCCACACTATGGCGCCCTTTACAATGTAGATTGAGAGTCAGCTCCCTTTCTTAACAAAACTAACAGCAGCATGAAACCATGGTAAGGATGCTGAATTTGGGATTCAAATCCCATCTCTGTCACTTCCAATGCTTGTGAATCTGAGGAAGTCACTCCTTTAATGTTCAGGTTAGTCATCTTTCAAATGAAGGGGTTGGACTAGATTTCATTTAAAATCCCTTTCAGCTCTAAATCAAGGACGCAATCACCCCAGATTTGCTGACATGCAAACCCCCACATTATGGAAACTCAGGGGCCTACCTATGATCCAAAGGGGCAGAATTCTGGGCTAAGGGCATTATATAGGTTTGGGTGGCTGGAGTCTAAATGCTCATTGCCCCACATCCATGGTACATCAGGGGGCTGCTCAGGGTAGGACTCCCCCCAAAACAACAGAGGAGCTGGCATTGTTTTTACTTTCCTGGGGATAGATGAGTAGCCGTGGCCTGACTCCCTTTACATTATGCCCAACAGCCTCCAAGGGATCTGTCCAGCCTCCTTTGGGGAAGGTAGCCCCTTTAGCCTCTGCCTCTAGTTCTCCAACCTGGTACTCATTTAATTCCAGCATGCCAGGAGTCCCTGTATACTATGTGCTTCTTGCTCCCTAATAAAACCATGTATTTGCTGGTCAGTAGGTGGTGTGGGGCTCCCTTGAGAGTCCTTTTTTCCCTTCCCACACTGGGGACAAAAAGGATTTTGGGATTTGGGCAGATAATCACTAAAGGGCTTGCATCTATAGCTCCTGTCTCCTTTTGAAGCTTAGGGTTGAGGTTTTCTGGAGACCCTATAGCACAGACAGGCCCTCTGCAAAGTGTTAATAGGAGATGCTGCAGATTGCATAAGCCAGCCCTCCCAAACCTTTCATCTCAGACTTCCCCTCCCCTTCCCAATCTTGCCCCTCTCCCAGACTCACTCCAGCACCCTCAGGGACACCATGTTGGGAAGCACGCTAGCGAGGTTCTCGGCTCCAGTATCACAGATACAGTTGTTGTACAAGCTGCCAAAAACAGAGGGGGAGGAGGAACCATTGGGTGCTTAGGGACCTGCAGTATAGAGGAAGGAACCTCTAATTCTGTCTCACTGTGCCTTACTATCACATTGACTACCATTGCTGGGAGAAAAGAAAAACACATTGTCTCTCCAGTCACCAGGATAGCCCAACACCCTATAATGTTGTAGAGTCAGTGTTGTTAGGAGTCATTTTTCATACCACCAGAGTTATTAACAACAGCTACACACTCATTATAGAGCACTGCTTTAATAGGATGAGCATTACTAGTCATGCTGTCTTAAACACTCTGCCCACAACTATTAACATCAATCACACACTGCTGTGTGGGAGGTATTGTTCCTATATATTCAGTTGTGTAACTATCAAAGGTTATACTTGCAGCAGGAAGGATTTTGGTAAGACTTAAAGAGTTCCAGCATTAAAGGTTGGTAGATACTAGAAGAAGTAGTAGGGGGCCACAAGATCTTCTTGGAAGACTGTGAGAGAGAGATCACCATTTGTCTGGGGGATGTTTAGACCTTACTCTCCCAAATAAGACTCCATGCAAGGTTAGTGAACTTTGTCGCTTTTAGAGCCCCTAATGTGCAAAGTTGCTGCTGTGACAGAGAGCTCTTTGCACCCAAACTACTAATTTTTTCCAAAATTTGTCAGAAAAAGCCTCTTACTCACCTCAGTGTAACAAGGGATGTAGCCAGTGTTGGTAGAGCCTTGGCCAACTCCATAGCTCCCACATCAGTGATGCTATTCTGAGACAAGCTGGAGGAAACATAGAATGAGGGGAGGAGGATGGATAGGAAGGGTAGGGTAGGACAGGAATAGTGGTCAGTGTGATTCTTGCTTCTGGGGAGATTTGGAATAGCCCAAATTGGTTCTCTATCACCTTCAAGCCTCCCACCAACCCTCCACCCTACCAACATGACTTTCTGCTCTAAATTTTTGACTAAGCTTAGTTTTATCCCTGAGGCTAGGGATAGAGACAGAGTGACAAAGGGCCTGATTTGGCACTTACTTCAGGGTTTCCAAAGCCTTCAGCTCTGGAAAGATGGCAGAGAGCTGAGATACACCTTCATCCCCAATCTTGTTCCCATTCAGGGTGTCCAGGCTATAAGAAGGAACCAAGTACAAAAACCATCAACTTGATTCTGAGAGGAGCCCTTCCTGGACCCTGTTGCCTAGACCAAGAGGAGAAATGGAGGGATTTCCTTCTTATAAGTCATCATCCCCTGGAGATTGATAATGTTCTCCCCCTACTGCTTCTGGTTCATTTTGTGTACACAGCTGGGTTAAAGGGAACTGAAAGTTCACTCAAGAATACAAAGATAAATTTGATGATTGATAACTGCAACAGAGTAAAAAGAGAACCAATCTGGGTGACAAAAAAGCTGATTTGAGTTCTGACTCTTCCCGTCACTAATTAACTGGGTGACCTTGGGCAAGTAACTTAACCTTTCTGAGTCTCTGTTTATGTATTTTATAAAATAGGACAATAATTTCTTCCCTGCCTACCTCATAAGGATACTGCAAGGATAAAATGTGCCCATGTATTTGATTGTTGTCTAATTTTTTTATTACCATAAAAAGAGGCAGCTTAATGGATATAGAACTTTGCTTCAGAGGCAGGAACACATGGGCTCAGGTTCTACTTATGACACTCTCTAGCTGTGTGACTCTGGACAAGTCACATGATCTTTCAATGTCCCAGGTTATTCTCTAAGACTAAAAATTGTAGGATAGTCTGCATTCGTAGAGTGAAATTCTCATACTAGTGAAATCACAGATCTAGGAGAGAGAGACAGAGACAGAGATAGAGAGAGACAAAGATAGAAAGACAAACACACACACACAGATAGAGAGAGAGACAGAGGAGAAAGAGAGAAAGAGAGAGAGGAGAAAGAAAAACAGAGATAGGATACAGATGGGAAAACTGAGGTCTAGGGACGTTAAGAGATTTGCTTGAGGTCATCCAGCTAGTAGATGGGACACCTGGGATTCAAACTCTAGTCGAGCCTCTAAGTGCAACATTCTTTCCACTGTCACGTTTATAGGACAATAACAATCCAATGACCATGGATTACCTCCTTGTAGTCCTGGTCTGGAGGTGGAAAACTCATCAAGTCACAGATTTAGAGGTAGAAGGGGCCTTAAAGGGCATCTAGTTCAACTCCCTCATCTTACAGATGAAGAAACTGAGTCCCAGAGGATTTCAGAGAAAGCTGAAGAGCTAGGATTTGAGTCCAGGTCCTCTGACACCAGACTCAGAATATTTTCCCTTCATTAGGGGATTTAAGGGCTGAGTAAAGGTTGTGGAAGGGTGGTTGTTTGACCAACAGTCAACACTTTTGCCAACAGTTTGCTACAGGTGTGAACTCCCGTGACTTAGCTTTGGGGTTAAAGAACTGAAGGCTTCTGTTATAATGAAAATCTGAGTCAAAAGCAGAGGAAGTATACTGGATTTGGAGTCAAAGCTGGGCTCAAATCTCAGTCCCATCACTTAAGACCTGTGTGGTTTTGGGCAAGTCACTTAAACTCTATGGACCTCAGTTTCCTCATCTGTAAAATGGGGGCATTGGACTAGAAATATTCTCTAGATCAGGCCTGCACAACCTGCAGCCCACAGGCTGCTTATGGCCCACCAAAGGATTTCGGGAAGTCCACAAAAAACGTAGAGGAAAATATCCTCTACATTTTTTGTGGGTGGCTGGAAATCCTTTAGCATGCCCGTAGGCCATAAGCAGCTTGTGGGCCACAGATTGCACAGCCCTGCTCTAGATCCTTTCCGCCTCTAAATGTATAAGGAAACTAACCCGGTCTCATATCAAGTTCCCTAGGACAAATGATTAGAGACAGGGAAGAGAGACTTTCATTTGAGGGACTTTCCTTTCAAAGGATTAGAGAACTGAAGCTCAGAAATGGGAAATGACTTGCCCAAGGTCATACAGGTATTAAGTAGCAGAGCAGGTAGTTTAACCTAGTCCTCTGATTCCAAATCCATAGTATTCGTTCTACAGATGCTTCATTGATAGTGCCCTAGTTGGGCTTTCTCTCACTCAAGATGGGGCTGGGGAATCCGGGCAGGTGAGCATCATTTATTCAAAAGTGTCTGATCATATTCATGGAAATTAAACTCTGCCACAGTCTGTACAGTCAATATGCTACAACTGGGTTTAGTAAGTAACTCAGTCTACCAATCCGGGCTAAAAAAATTAAGCTGAGGGTGAGGAAAAATGTCTAAGAGGAAAAAAATCTATTTCTAATGATTCCTTTTGTCAAGCTGATGTTAATATTCCATTCTATAAACATTTATTAAGTACTTACTATGTGAAAAGCACTGGGGATAAAAAAAGAGGCAAAAAAAAAAACCAGTTCCTGCGCTCAAGGAGCTTACAATCTTAGGGGGGAGACCAATATGCAAACAAATATGTACAAAGCAAGCTATATAAAAGATATACAGGCAATAATGAAAAAAGAGAAAGCGCTGGAATTAAGAAGGGTTAGGAAAGTTTTCCTGTAGAAGATGGAATTTTAGTTAGGACTTCAAGGAATCTAGGAGGGTCAGTAGTGAGAGAAAAAGAGAGAGATTGTGTTGTAGGCATGGGGCACAGGCAGAGAGAATACCTGGAGCTGAAAGATGGCGTGTCTTGTTCTTAAAACAGCCAAGAGGCCAATGTTACTGGATTGAAGATTATGTGTTGGACAATAAGGTGCAAGAAGAATAGAAAGGTAGGAGAGGGCTGTTATGAAGGCCTTTGAATGCCAAACAGAACATTTTGTATTTGCTCCTACAGACAATAGCAAGCCTCTGGAGTTTATTGAATTGAGGCCAGGGTAACATGATTGCACCTGAGTTTTGGGAAAATCACTTTAGTGGCTGAATGGAGAATGGATTGGAGTGGGGAAAGACTTGAGGCAGCTGGACCCACTAGCAGGCTATGGCAATAATCCAGGAACAAAGTAATGACGAGCCTGTCCTAGAGTAGTGGCAGTAACAAAGGAGAGAAGGGGGCATATTTGAGAGATATTGCAAAGGTGAAATGGGCAGGCCTTGGCAACAGATTAAATATAGTGGGGGGGGGGATGAGAGATAGTTAGGAATCTAGGATGACTCCTAGGTTGTGAGCTTGAGAGACTGGGAAGATGGTGTGGCCGTGTACAGTAGCAGAGAAGGCAGGAGGCGTGCGTGTGGGGTGGGAGTGCAGTTTCGGGGGAAAGATGGGCTCTGTTTTATGGACATATAAGTTTAAGCTGTTTATTGGACATCCAGTTCAAGATGTCTGAAAGGCAGGTGGAGATGCAAGATTGGAGGTCAGCAGAGACATTAGAAAAGGAAAGGTGGATTTGAGAATCATCAGCACACACATGGTAATTAAATTCATGGCAGCTGATGAGATCACCAAATGAAGTAGCATAGAGGTAGAAGAGAAGAGGGCCCAGGACAGAACCGTGAGGGACACCTATGATTAGAGGCTATGATCTGGATGAGGATCCAGTAAAGGAGACAGAGAAGGAGCAGTCCTTTAGGTAGGAGGGGAACCAGGAGAAAGTGGTGTCTCAAAAACCTAGAGAGAAAAGAGTATGATGGAGAAGAGAGTGATCAACCGTTACAAAGGCTGCAGAGAGGTCACAGAGGATGAGGACTAAGAAAAGGCCATTGGATTTGCAACTAAGAGATCATTCCTGACTTTGGAGAGGGCAGTTTTGGTAGAACGATGAGGTTGGAAGTCAGATTGTAAGGGGTTAAGAAGAGAGTGAGGGTAAATAAAGTGGAGGCATCTATTGTAGATAGCCTTTTCAAGGACTGTAGCTACAAAGCCCAGAAGAGATATAAGTGGATAGTTATTAGGGATAGAAGGATCAAGTGGAGATTTTTTCGAGATAGGGGAGACGTGGACAAGTTTGTCAGCAGTAGGAAATAAGCCAGTATAGAGTGGAAAAATGTTTCCTTTGACCCCATTTTTCCCAAGCAGGTGATGTGTTTGATGGTTGTCAGTTTGATTTTTTTTTAATTCCCCACACCTGAGTGTGTCAAGATTACACAATTACTTTACTGAAAATCGGCATAAAACTCTACCACAAGGGGGCAACAGTGGCCTAGAAAGCTGAAGTCATTTGCTTAAGGACTTCATGGGAATAGAGTTAGTTGAGGAGCTTCAGGACCAGCCCCATACCTGGTCTCTGGTTCCAAACCAGACCATGGCCATTTTTCTCAGTATTACTCTCTCACTCTTCCCCACAATGAGGCCGTTGTTGATCAATTCCTCCTTTTGCTCCTCCTCATTCTTATTAGTAGTAGTCAAGGACAGAATAGGGGCAGAACGTACTTACTCCAAATGCTGAAGAGATGAAAAAGCTGCAAGTATCTTAACCAATTTTGGAAAGCTCTGGGGACCCAACACTGGGCCCAGCCTGGAAGGAAACAGCTTAGATGAGTTCCCAAAAGAATTAGTAGAGGCAACATGGTGTAGAGACCAGACAAATGCCTTCAAAGGTCAGGAAGACCTGGGTTCAAGTATGGCCTCTGACGCTGGCTGTGGGACCCTAGGGAAGTCACTTAACTTCTCAGTGCTCTAGGCAGTTCTCTAACACTGCAGAGAAAGTGCCAACTTGAATTGACAGAGTCAGTTTCTTCAAGTTCTGTGCTATAAGGCTCAGATGGATTTATTGATCCCTTTTTTCTCAGTCCTGTCCTTCCATCTCCAGACCTTTTCCAAGGTAAAGCTCAGAATAAAACAGAAATATTTTCTGTGATGGAATAATCATCCCCATAGGCCTCTCTCTTTACCCTTCCTTGCCCTCTGCTCTCTATTTTTTTTCACCTTGCCCTGGCCCCATCTGCCAGTGACCCTGAGTCCTCCCTGTTAACACTGAATTTCTAGTTGAGGCACCTAGAGACATCCACAGAGCCCACTGAACACATCCCCAATGGGCTAGACCATAGGCAGAGCAACTGTGGACTGTGCTGCCTTCTTTCCAATGGGATGGAACAACATTATAGAGTCCCCAACACTTCTGTACCACAGGGTCTCCAGGCCATATTTATATAGCATTTTAAAAGTTTCCAAAATGTCTATCTCATGGCAACTGTGTGAGATTACTTTAAGCAACTTGTTAAACGTGTTAATTTCCTCATCTGTAAAATGATGAACAAGAGGCTTACTCAAGTGAAGGGACTCCCATGATCAGAAAGCTAGTAGTGTCAGAAAGTAGGGCTTGAACCCAGGTCTCCTGACCACAGTTCGTAGAATCACAGGAAAGTGCTGGAAGGAAACTTGGAGGCCATGGAGTCCAATGCCCTCATTTTTACAGATGAGGAAACTGAGGCCCAGAGAGATTAAAGTGGCTTGCCCAGAGCCTGGTGCCTTTTTTTTTTTTAATGTCCAATGTTCACCGGGGAGCTTTACCTTTAAAATACAAGAATCTACAAATATTCTCTTCCCCTTTACATAGCTTTTATGAAGAAACTGAGTTACCATCCCTTGGTCTCCACCTTCCTCCCACCTCCCACCTAGGGCTTTCTATTTTGCCTAGGACCTTGTATATTGCATTCTTGGTCTGGCATCTGCTGCTCATCTGAGGTGAACAAGACATCTTGAGAGCAGCAATATTTTTATGCTTAAAATAATTTTCAAACAGAAGTAGCCCTTAGTGGTTTTTCTCATGAATTTCCTCTTTTCTATAATAATTTTAGTCCTGCACTAACCATACATGTCTTCACCCCCACCCCCTAAACTTTTTGTCTTTTAGGTGGAAGAGGAGGAAATTACTTTAACACTTCAATAGATGGTGTCAACAATGTAATACAGGGCCCATCCCAGGCCTGCAGAGGCTTTTCCCCTTAGAGAAACACAGAGGCAATCTGATATCGGCCTTTTTTCTTAGGCAAAAAGCTCCTGAGCACTGTATCCTGTTTTGAAGGAGTTGGTACGGAGCCATAATTTAAGTCAGTTGGTGCAGCTGGGTAGAACATGTGCTAAGGTCATAACCGGAAAAACTCAGAGATTGAAGATGGCCCCTTAACCTTAGCCAGCTTTGTTACAAGTGAATGCTCTTAGTCAAAAGAGGAAATGGGACAGACGATGTGGTAGGCACACTGTGGATCACCCTCACTAAGAGTTCAGAGTTCAGGCCCTGCTGGGGTTGGATGGGAATATACACAGGAGGCTAGAGACCCAAAGACAATCAACTGTTACTCACGCAAACTCAAGATTCTTCAGGTCTCTGATGGCAGGAAGAGGGTCACAGGCCTCTATAGGGTCATTTCCTGAGCTACAAAGAATATGACATGAGTGATGTTACAACCTCAGGGTTGATCTTAAGAGCAGAGTATGCTGTCTAATAGGATGATTTGAAAGTAAGTAGTCCCCTCCCCATTTTTGCCATTGGTGACTGTCTACACCTGTAGCTAATACTTCACTGTTTGAGATTTATTTCACTGGGGCAAAAACAGTGCTAAATTCCTATTAAAATACATCTCATTCCATGGGGGTAATATATTAAATCATTCACTAGTAGGGTTTGACTTATCATATAGCTTTGTGAGAAGGAATGAGATTTAAGATAGAATTTAGATAGTATTGTTTTGAGGGGGAGAGAAAGAAAGAATAAGGGAATGGTTTGGGTTCTGGGCCTTACCAAAGTGAACTGCTACAGAGGGGTTAGCATGAGAGTCCTTGTTGACTGGGTGGGTATCATCGGTACCAGGAAGGTGTAAAGAGGTGAAGAAAGCATTCAGATAAACTTTGCCTTATAATTTTGCCAGGCTCTGACTTTGCCTAGGAATCTCTCTCCATTGGAGAAACCAAAATCAGGACATGCTTCTCATTTAATGGATAAGGTGGCCAAAACAGTTCAACAACTATTCTGTGTGTGAAGTTTGGATTCAGTCAAAGGGCTACCCTTGAGGATGTAGAGGGCCACATGGGGCCCTGAGGCCCCAGGTTCCCCACACCTGCACTCTTGACACTTAGGGATTAGGTTCTTCCAGGTTCCACTGTAGGGTTTCTGCTTTTCTATCCCGTTAGTTCTTACCTGTATCTAGGAGATCCTACTTTTCCCTCTCTACTTTTTGGAGGTCAGGATCTCATTTTCATCTTTGTCTCTCTAGTGGGCTTTTTTTCCAGTGGCAAAGCTGTTTCCCCCCAAATGAATCCTCCAGCCTGTTCCTTGCCCACCCCTTTTCCAAGGCCCTTTTCTCCTTCCCACCCAGAGCTATCAAAGTTCTCTGCTAGTGAGTGAGCCACTCACCCTTGGATATTCACCAGGCTACAAAGGTCCTCCACATCCTTCATGGACTTGACCTTGAAAGGATCAATGGTGAACTTCTCAGTGGAACTTCGGAATAGTTCATATTCCCCACTCTGCCGAAGGGATTCCCACAGCCACACTGTGTCACTTAGAGATGCCCTGTGGATGGAAGTCCTCAGACACAGGTATCTAGGAACTTCCCACAGGGAACAAATCCCTAGAATGGATCCTAGGTTCCTAAAGTAGCCAGGTCCCTACCCAAGGGGACAACAATTGTCTGCAAGGAACTGTCAGCCTATCCAAATCTCACCATTCTTTGGAATTCAACTCTTCTAGTCCTCATTAATTTCTCCTTCCTCCATAGCCCTTATTTTGGTATTTATCATATGTTAGCATGGTATTATTATTTTGTGGTTGCACATGTATCTTGTATCCCCAACTTTATTAGACTTTGCAAGGCAAGGATTTCATATCTTCCATAGCATTGTCATCAATGCTTAATAAAAACTCATGCAATGAATTGTTGGAGTGTATAAATGAACCAAAGGAACTCCATATCAAAGAAAATGTTTCTGGGAACCTATGAAAAAACTGTGGTATGTAGGAGCTAATGCCTTCCCGTTCCAGGGGCTAGTCTAACTAACTATGAAAACTATGTTTAACTACTTCTAACCTTTCCTACTATGCCCAGGGAAAAATTATCAGTTGGAAAGGAAGATACCAGAATTTGCAGTCTGTACTTCTCATGGAATATGGCATTGCATGTATGTATGAGGATCTGAGATTCTGTAATCATGACCTTGAATACTATGTAATTAAAGAAAAAGCTTGTTAACCAAGGTGTGGCTGGTTAACTTAGTGATCTGAGGATGGTGTCAATGAGTTCAAAGGTTCACTCTCCATGATAGTGAATTTCGCACTGTTCAGTGTTCATAGGTTACATCTCCTACTCCAGCCAACCTCTTAAGTCATAAATGAGGATTAGGTGAGTGACAGAGAAACAACTCAAAGATCATTCTCACATAGGAAAGGTGACATTATTTTATGGCTGCTTTGGATTGTGGGAGAGAGTATAGTACAGAGGAAAGAGCCTTTTACTAGGAAACAGAAAACCTAGCTTCTAATCCTAAAATTCTTCCGCAAACTAGCTGTAGGATTTTCTGCATATCCTGGGCCTCAATTCCCTAATCTATAAAATGGGAGGACTGTATTAGATGACCTTTGTCTAGCTCAAACTCTGTGTTTGTGTGTATGTATGTATGTATGTATGTATGTATGAGTTGCATGGAAGACAAGAGATTTGAACAGGGATACTGTACAATGTAGCATGAAACAGGGGGCTCATTATTCTGCCACTACATTTCCTTTCTTTCCCAGAATATTTTCTGAGAATGTGGGGGTCAGGGAGTGATAGGGGGAGGAGGTACGGCAAGGAAGATGGTGGACACCTGACTTCTTATTGCTTCTCAGCTCCCCTCCCATTTCAGCTCTTCCCCTGCCCAGGGCCTCACCTGAAACAGGTGACACAGCCAAGTTGGACAAGGATCCTTAGACCGTGCAGGTCAATGGAGGTGTTCCTGAGATCCAGGGAGAAGTCTTTGCCAGCTGCTTTCAGGGCTTCACCCAAAACATACACGTCTGGTGGGGCCAGGCGTACTCCCTGGAAGGCGAGGCAGCAGGGTAGCCCAGCTGTTACATGCTGCCATAGGTGGTTGTCAGTTGCTTCATGGGCACAGTGCAAGAGTTCAAGGAGCCTCCCAGGCCCCAGCGTCCCAGGCTGTAGTCGGGTCAGATAGTTCAAGATTGCCTTCTGCCTCTTGCATATGAGCCCAAGCTGCTCATTCCCACCAAGGGGCCCAAGGCACGAGGACAGGGGCTGGAAGAGAAGCCCCGTCAGGAAGTGGGGCACCCGTTCCAGCCAGTTGTCATAGGGTTTCTTCTTCCTAGGGGTCAGGGCTAGGTACCTTGGGAGTTCTTTGTCCCTTACTTCCTCACTCAGAGCCAGCCTCAAAGCTCCTAGGAAGTTCTGCAGGAGAAAGGCCATCTCTGGTTCCCTGGTTGTTGGGAATGGCGACACAAAGTCCCCCAAAATGGCAAATTCCTTCATTTCTGTGGAGGGGAGCTGATCCTCTCTCAGGACATTGCAATGTCTCTGGCCTAGTTCCCATGCCAACTCTGCCAAGCCTGCCAGGCAGTTCCTGGGCCAGGTTTCAGATGGGCCCCTTTCCCTGGCTCTCAGTCCTGAGCAGAGGAGGCTGACAAAGAGGCCTGTGAGTGTGGAGGGAAGTTGGGCCGGATCCTTTCTGGTCAGGATCTTCTCACAAAGCCGGCAGAGGGAGAGGCACACGGCAGGGCTATAGCAGTGACTGAGCAGGTAGGGCTGGGCCCGGACAAGCCTCAAGGCCTCACCCCTGTCTGATGGTGAACCCTGGAAGTACTTTTCAAAGTAAGACTCCACCTGCTCAGGAGAGAAACCCTGCACCTCCAGGAGGCTGTCTACCTTGGCCAAGTACTGGGTAAACCTTCCTTTTGGCCTGGCTGTGATCAGCAAGGTGCAGCCCCTCAGGAGCTTCCTTTGGAAGAGGCCAGCCAGCAGCCCTTTGATGGGCCGTGACTCCCCAGGAGAGGGACTGGATGGACAATTCAGAAAGCCATCTTGCCCCTCCAGCTCCTCAAAGGAGTCCAGAATGACCAGAATGCGATTTGGGTGCTTCAAAATATATTTGAAGACTTCCTCACTTTCTTCCAATGGGTGATTGTAGAGTCTGAAAAACAGGTCCTTCAAACAGTAGTCGTTCCCTGGCAAGTTCAGTCTGCAGCATTTGTAGTGAAAGACAAATTCATATTGGGGAAGCTGGCCCCGGGCCCAGTTCTTACAGACCTGCTGGGTCCAGGCACTTTTGCCCAGACCAGCCTTGCCCAGTACTGCAATCACCCGTGTCTCCCTCTTTTGCCCTCTGGTGCTGGCAAACACCTCTCTCCATCCCACACGGGCCTTCTGTCTCTCTGTCCAGTCCTGGATTACCAATTCTTTCTCCTGATTCTTGCTGTTTTTCTCCACCTGTGTTCTTGTGAGGTCTAGATCAATATAATGGCTGTTGGGACCTTCTGGAACATCCTCATAAGCCTTCTGGAGAGCACGACAGAACCGTTCCACAGATTCTGCAAAAGCCCAAAGGGGAATTGGTAACCCAGTCACCTGAATGGCTCCCCAACACTGCTATCTCAGTTAAACCACTCCACAGCTACCCCTCAACCACCATAGAAGACTGACTTTCTCTCCACCTAGAGATAAAGCCTTCCCTGACTCCTCCAGCCCATCTTTCCCTTCTCTTAAGTCTTACTGTTTCTGTCATACAATTTAGCACTTGACTTCATAGAATTTTGTGTTCCTTAAGTGTTTCAGGTATGGAGCTTTGACTCCCCAACTGGATTATGGGATCCTGGGACTCAGAGCAGGAAAGGTAATAGGATCTTAGATTTATGATCTACACAGGAAGGTCATCTGGTACAAACCCTTCATCTTACAAATGAAGAAACTGAGGCCCAGAGGGGTTAAATGCAAGGGTGTTGGTAAACTTTAATAACAGTCTCTCTAGGGAAAACATATATGCAATACACACTTTTAAGTTTAATCTGCATTGTTAATATTTTGTTTATCACTTTTAAAAGTCTAGACCAGTAGTCTTCAAACTCTAATAGAAAAGTATCCCTGCAGGCTGCATGTTGACTGAGAAAACTACAAATTACCATTATCCATGCTGTATTGTATTTTTATTTTGTTAATCATTTCCCAATTACAATTTAGTCTGGTTCAACCACACTCTAGGCCAGTAGGCCTTAATAGCTGATACCTCTGCTCTAGATAACCAACAAAACAATAAATCAATTCCAGATTTGTAACCTTTGTTGATTTCTGAGATGTAAAAAATCACACTAAAAATTTAACAATTGGCCACTTGAAGCTGGCTATAGCATAACCCTGTAAATAACTGTAAATGACTCACCCAAGGTGAGATAAGAAGTAGCAGATAGGAGCAGCTAGGTGGCACAGTGAATAGAATACCGGCCCTGAAGGCAGGTGGACCTGAGTTCAAATCCAGCCTCAGACACATAACACTCACTAGCTGTGTGATTCTGGGCAAGTCATTTAATCCCAATTGCCTCACTAAAAACAAAAAATAACAAGAACAAAAAAGTAGCAGATAGGATGCTGGTAATGCAAAGACAAAAAAGGAAACAGTTCTATTAATTTAATACAATCAGTTAAATTCTATTCAGTTCCTTTGTCTTGAGAAAGACAAAGGCAAGATATGTAGAGTGCTACCTTTCCATTCCTTCCAAATCCTATTATTCAAGGGGCCAAACCTGCTACCTAATTGGCACATTGCATCCCCCAAATACGCACCTGTTTTTCTGTCTTGTGAGGTTAGAGCTGAGGCCTCAGGCATGTTGGGCATATCTGCTGCTGATGGCGTAAATGGACTGGTGGAGCCATGCCTGTCAGGGGATACTGGGAGGCTCTGTGTGATGGCATCACCCCCTGATGAAGCTTGTGAATCAAAAGTGGTCTTAAGTGAGCCAGCTGGAAGAAGTCGAAACACTGAGGCTAAAAACGACTTTCCCACCCAACCATTGGTCATTCCCGTACCCCCACATACCCCAACTTTGGGCTACAAGGCTTTAGGGAATTGTGGAAAGTAGAGAGTTTTAAAAATTCTTCATTACAATAGTCCTTTATTTCCACAAAATTTCCCTTTCAATACCACTCTCTCTCCCCAGATCAAAATGCTTAGATTATTCTGTGGTTCCATTCATCATGTTCAACTGAAGCTAGCAATTTTGCAGTGAGAGGGAACAAGGACTCAAGAAAGTAGTTAATTATTACAGAGAGGAAAGTCAGGTGTCTCTAATGTCAATCTCGGCCTCTTCCTGTTAGATTACACTTTTTCTGTTGCCTCAGTTCCTCATTTTTGTTTTTTGGAAGTTTTTTTTTTTTTGGGAGGGGACACTGACTAGAGAGGAAAATGAGAAGTCCTAGAAAGCCAAAAATGTTTCACCACATACGTAAGTGTCCTGAGAGGTGAGGATAAGAATAGAGAGAAAAGTATCTCATTTTTCATCCAGGTTGAGCTGTCCAAAACTGGTGTGGGTGAAGCTAGGGTTGACGTCTGTGATATGCTTACCTGGGTATAAGAAGATGTTGGAGACCCCGTTTTCCACGGTGAAGTGGAAGACACCTTGGGGCAGAGTAGGGAAGGTGGGGATGAGTTGGATGGGTCCCCCATTGAAGTTCAGGCAGGCAAGAACAGGACTGGCTGAGGACACTAAGGAAGGTAAGGTAAACAGAATCTTTAGGAATTAATAGCTGTGGAGGTGAATTCCCTAGTCCTGAGGGGATTCCCAAGTAACTTTCGAAGGACTACATTTCCTAGAGAGTGTTGACTTGCTTGGGGCTATAAACTTTAGGCTAGGACCTATTTTCAGTATCTGCATCCCTACAATTCTCCTGTAGGAGGAAGAAATTGGGCAGAGAAGGGTTTAGGCCGAAGACATAGGAGGGAGTTTGGGATTAGATTATAAGGCAGTGTATTGTAGGAGAAAGAGGACTGCATTTGGAGGCAGAGGATTTAGGTTTGACTTCCAATTTCCTGCTGTTCACTACTTATGTGACACTAGGCAAGACATTTTCTCTTTCTGGACTTCAGTTTCCTTAGCTGCAAAATGAAGAGATTGGACTAGTTGACCCAAAGTCACATAGGTAGTATGACCTCTGACTCCAAATCTAGCACTCTTTCCAAAGCTGCTTCTCAAGAAATTCCTTTCATCTTCCACTTCTAATCTCTCAGTCCCTGCTACTACTCAGAAAATATAACCCCAGGACTCTTTAACTGTGGTCAACATAAACACAACACTTTCCCCAAGTCCCCTCACATACTGGGCACCAGGAAGGTTTCTTCCATGGGGAGTAGGCTAGGCTTGGCAACCTGGCCTGGGAGAGGAGACAGAGAGCCCTTCAAGGCCAAGTTGTTGCTGGAAGACACTGTCCTTAAATTGCTGGTTACCAATGGAATAGCTGGGGATGCCTCTGTGAAGAAATAAAAAGCCACATTTCATGAAAGTCAGGCTCCTCCATCCCACCCCGACTCAAAGTAGCTTGTCAAAAGTGGGATGTAGGCATCCAGGAAACAAGACAACAGTTTGCCTGTTGTAGTTCAGATGTAGCTGAGGAAAAATAGTCAATGAGTGAAGATTAACCATCTGAGCAAACTAGGGTGACCAGGAGGTGGTCATGGCTAAAGAGGAATTTTCACTATCTCTAATTATCAGGAAGCTCATGGACCTTCCTCTTTCATTCCTGACAAGTCTTTTTTGATTCATTTATTTGTAACCCTGGCCCCTAAAGTGAGCTTCCACAAGATGGCTGAGTAGGAGTTGGGGACGGTTGTCACTTGTCACTCACCATATCCTTAGCAGCCCCTTAGGGGGATTCCTACTCAGAGAGCATAATGATCACTTAAAGACACAGTCTACTCTATGGTAACTTGTACCTGGTCAAATATTTTTTTATCTGTGCCCTTCTACCCACTTCCCAGCAACACATCCTAACTCTCCCATTAGAATGGTAACCTCCAGAGGATGGAGTCTATCTCTTCCTCCATCAGACTAGGATATCCTTGACCCCTTGTTCCTTCATTTTTGTTCAGTCCTTCCTCATATCACAAAGATGCTGATGGGGAAGGGTAGACTATAGAGAGGTCTCAGTCAACATTGTTGATTAACAGACCAAAAAGTCTGTTGGGGGAGGGATCACATTGACCCTAGGAAGTGTTGGCCTGGATAAATGGATGCATTTCATTTCTTAGGATCTTAGGTTATCCAATCCCCCTCCACCCCACCCCTACCTGTCAGAGCCAGTCTGGTAGCAGCCTAAGTCACCTGGGATGGATTGGACCCATCTCTCAATTCAGGTAAGGGCGATGGATCTGATGTCAGTAGATTCTATTTTCTCCTTTCTCACAGCCTTCCTATTCTGCCCATCCATCCTGATGTTGCACCCTTGCCCCCCAGTCCTCACCTAGAACAGCTGAGATTATGCCTCTCTCCTTGTCTGAGTTCATCCATTCAGCTTGGAACTACACCTAGGAGCTGAGCTTGATTGGACAGTGCATGAGTGTAAACTTTCCTCATTCATGGTATCCAGTTGGTCCCAGATAATGTTTCACATCCATTCACCCCACACATCTTGAGATATGTGCCCTGAAGCCTGAAGCATATCCTCCTCATCCTCATTTCAGCTCCTTCTCCTTTCCACCTCTTGCTACTATGATTTTTTTTTTTTTGTGTGAGGCAATTGGGGTTAAGTGACTTGCCCAGAGTCACATAGCTAGTGAGTGTTATGTGTCTGAGGCTGGATTTGAACTCAGGTCCTCCTGCCTCCAGGGCTGGTGCTCTATTCACTGCGCCACCTAGCTGCCTCTACTATGATTGTTTTAGGAAAGGACATAACAATTGATTGCCATACAGCTCTATTTACTATTCCTGTGTTTCTCCAAACAAAAGCTCCCTTCCCTGGACTATTTCTCTATATGTGTTATTCCCCCTTTTTAAAGTATAAACTGCTTGAGGGCAGAGACTCAGGCATGTGGTAGTTGCTTAGTCAATTCTTGTTCATTTATGCATGCATGCATTCATATTGAACTCCAAAGAGAGACCAGATCATGAACTAAGACTCTATCCTTGCCCCCATGACCCTTGTTGGCTATAAAGTTCTAATTCAAGAGCTGACCAGTTGTACTACAAACATTTTATCCAGCTACTTTGGAAGAATTTAGGTTTCAATGTGAAGACATTAAGCTCCTTAAGGAAGAAACTCTAAGACAAAATGGGTAAGCAAGGAGAAGCATGGGGCAATGATATTCTGCCCTCCCTCAGTCCTCTATTACCTTCTCACAATGGGATTGCTGTGGAGAAGGGACCTTGTGTGACTTATCTGAAGGCTGATGTTTTTGGGGGTTGGGGAATGTTAGGTAAATGAACACTTTGCTGGGGTTTTATTTACTGAGGCTGGAAATAATAATAATAATGAATACTTCCATTTACATAGCACTTTATTTATTACATAATTGTTCAAGATGGTCTTTCTTCTGTTCAAAGTAGCTGCAGATGGCAATGCCATCTTTGGATACCAAAGATGGTCCTTTCCATAGCAGTGGCCCCTGTGGCCTGTTTGCAATCATCATCATCATCATCATCATCATCTCTTATATTTGCATGGTGATTTATGGTTTACAATGTTGTTTCACATATTTTATCCCATTTCATTCTCTTTGGAGGGATTATGGATTGCAAACTTGCCTCAGTCAAAAAGATTCAGGTTTGAGTCCTCTGACTTGACTCTGACATGCATGCTTTTGAATAAGATGACTAATCTCTCATTTTCCCTTTTGGCCACTCACCAAGACCTTAATTTGCTGAATAGGTACTGACCTGCATTTGGGAAGGGAATTTCCTTCTCTGGGAATTCCCTATACCAAATGAAACCACAGGTCCAGTGACTATACTTATCCTATCCTCAATTCTTTCAAATGATGCTGTGAAGAAAGGCAAGTATTATCATCTCCATTTTAAGAATGAGGAAGCAGACTCAGAGTGATTGTTTTATCCCAGGTTGCATAGCTAGGGTTTTCATCTGCAAAACTGGGAAGCTGAATTCGATGATTTCTAAGGTCCTGTTGATCTCAAACCCGCAGTAAAAGGAAGGTCAGAATTGCCTCTGAGTTTTGATTACAGAGAAAGATAGAGGGAGAGTGAAAAGGAGGATGGGACACCAAATCCCCAGATACTTAGGAAAGAGCAGAGACCACCAGGAGCAGAGCCACTTTCAAACCACTGCCAACTATGCATGGCTAAAAGGAAAGAACCCATTTTTTCTGTCCCCTCACCCAGAAATCCCAAACTCACTGCTTTGGACTGTTATCTGTCCTTCAAATCATATTATACAGTCCCTTGTCCTTGTTCAGAGTAATATATAATTGAATGACATAATTAGATAATAGCATCAAAAATAGAACTGTGCTATAAACATAATTAGATAACAGCATCAAAAATAGAACTGTGCTATAAACTTAAAATAAACAAGCAGATTGAGTTTGAAATAACTAACCTAACTCAAAATCTGAGTTAGGGATGACTATGCTCACCTGGTTTTCTGCGTTTGGCCTCCCAACTGTCTGACTGAGGCTCAGGGTTATCCAGAAACACTGTAGAAAGAAAACCATCTTGGAGTGAGTGTTCACTGTAAGCTTTGGGTGGGATGGAGTTAGGCCCATTTTTTTGGGGAGGGGGTTGGATTTTGTTTTTTTTGGAGGGCAATTGGGGTTAAATGACTTGCCCAGGGTCACATAGCTAGTAAGTATCAAGTGTTTGGTCTGAGGCCAGATTTGAACTCAGGTCCTCCTGACTTCAGGGCTGGTGCTCTATCCACCTCGCCACCTAGCTGCCCCTAGGCCCATTTGTTTGAAAGAAACCATAAGGCTGTAAAGTCTCCATATAGTAGAAAGGATCCATTTTCTTATGAGTCACAAGGACCATTTTCAACATCTCTATTTGTGCCTGTCTTGCCTCTCCTTTTCTTTTTCCTGCTACCTAAACTACTGCAGTGGCTCCAGCATGACTTGGATCCTGTGAATTTGTTTTGGGCCCTAAATTTTGAATGTGGTTTATTTTGAGAAGGCAGCCACACATGGTCGACAGAGATGACTCCACTGGCTCCCCTTCCATGGTTTCCCCTGATTATCTCCAAGCCAAGAAAGCACATCAGCATGCCCAGAACTTGATGATGACCCATACCCACTCCCATCCTGCTTGACAGCAGAAAGCTCAAGAAAGTCCTGATGCTAACTTGCCATCTCAATTGGGGAACTGCTCTATGACGGGAGATATAGCATGGGACCAATTTAACATGAAGGCACGGGACCAAAACATGAGGAAACTAGAGCAGGAAGACCTTCACAATCAGGTACTAAGCATTGAAGAGATCTAAAGACATAAAGATGGACAAGTAAACTTTGTACCACTCCATCTTATTTTCAGGGAATTAAGCATCCATTTCAGATTTCTGAGTGAATGAGTTTTAATTATCCAAGAATCTGGATAAGATTATTATCAATCAACAGTATGGACTGAGCACCCACTATGTATAAAGCTTTGTTTTGGAAACTGCTGGAGGTAGTTGAAAAGTAGCAGACACGGCCCTCATGCTCGGGGAGGTTATAATGTAAGGAAGAAGGCAAGATATCCCAGAAAAGTCTAAAGCCTATAGGCAAGGACTTTATACAAAACAGGACCAGCCAACACCATTGTAAGGTACTATAGTTATCAGCATTTAACAGGTACTGAAGAAAATGCAGAATAGGGACAATTAATTCATTCAATAAAAATTTATTAAGTGCTTGTTATGAGCAAGGGATGGTACTAGGGGCACTGAACAATCTAGAAAGTCTTTCGTTAGATTGTATGCTTCCCATTAGATTTTAAATTCCTTAAGAGCAAGAACTGTCTTTTGCTTCTTTTTATATCTCAATGCACAGTGCCTGGCACATGGTAGGCACTTAATTGATTGATTAATTTCTGGAGGAAAGGCAAAACTTGGAGGCAAGGGTGGAAGGAATATGAGTTTGCAAGGGAAGACAGGAAGGCAGAAGATGATGGAATGACTTTGTGTCAAGGCTCCAAGATGAAAGCAAGTGATTGTAAAAATGGGTTTTTCTATTTTAGGCTGAGCATTGTGGGACAATAAAAGGTAATTACCTTAGTGGATAATCTTAAGTTCAGAGGTGGTAATCATGAGTGGAAAAGAGATGACAGAAACCCAAAGCTCCCATGAAAAGGGCAATAAGAAAGTGGGTAGCAGAAACATGTGAACCCTTTCAACAGAGAAGGATAGAGCTGGACTGAGATGTAATTTTGGTACATGGTCAATGTGGGCATTAGTTTTGCTAGATTATGCTTTCTTTTTCCTTTTTCTTTGCAATTGGAAAGAGATGGGAAGGAGAGAAAATAAATTTTTGTTAATTGAAATAAATTTTGAAGAAAAGAAACAGGTGAACTGCTAGAAGATAGAAATTCCTCTAGGTGTCCAGATTTTGGTTATCTTGTGAAAGGGGACTTCACCAAAAGAATTTCTTTAACCTCTTTGGGACACCAATGGTGGCATTAGAAAAGTGGAATTTCATAGTACAGCGTACTTCAAATTCTATGCGAAGGACCTAAATGGAAGAAGCAATTGGAAGATACCGCAAGTTTCAGGACAGTGACTTTGTAGTCCCAGGGAAGCATTTTAATCCAAGTGGTGTTTCAGAAAGATGGCCCTAACTCCTTAGTAAGGGATAGAATGAAGTATTCAAGGATGTTTGGGGAGAGGGGAGGGAGAGCATGACTGCCATTCCCAGTGAAAACTGCTAGGTCATTCACTTACATCTTTTCTGACATTTCTGTGATTTCTGGGGTATCTCAGTCAATGCATCTATATTCTCGTTGACCACCTCATCTGGGCCAATGTTGCCTAATATGGAGGAAAGTCAGTCAGTCAATAAACATTTATCAGGCACCTGATATGTGCCAGGCACAAGCAAAGAAACAAAAGGAGAGAGAGAGGAAGGAAGGGAGGGAGGAAGAGAGAGAGAGAGAGAGAGAGAGAGAGAGAGAGAGAGAGAGAGAGAATTAGCTAATCTCTGAGTTGTGTCTCCACCATACCAAAGGCTAGGAGTCTCGCAAACTCATCAGAGTATTGTTGATGATGACCAGATGGAATGGCCTTCCCAGAAAGAATAAGCAAGAACACAAGGCCTATATCAACTAAGATATCCCAAACTTACCAAAAATGCCTTCTTTCTCTGGGTTTCGATCTGAGAACATGTATTCTACCAGTGCCGCTGCCAAGGAAAGAAAAAAATAATCCATCAGAAAGACCAAAGAAGTCTTCTACTTCCCATTGCCATGAAATATCATCCAATTATCTTCTGTACAAATGGGCTCTGTGGCCTTGCACCCTCTTTCCTTGAGCCAAGTCATCTGTGATTGTTTGCTTCAGCCTACTACCTGATGGGGACTGCTCAAGAGGCATTACTAAAGTTTGCACCATCACAAGAAGCAAGAAAAAGCAACATGGTAGTCATCCTGTCTAGCTATTCCCTTGTAGCAACCCATAACCACTCCCAAAAGCATCTGGGTTATACCTCTACAAAAGCTACCATAGAAGTGCCAAGTGCTCTGAGGAAGTGATCCCCCACCATCCTGGTCTTACAAAATCGGGCCTGGCCATTGGTGGGCAAGCTTCTTCTTTGGGAAGTCAAGTCATCCATTCATGGCAACTGTATTGTGATCCCCAGAGCACTCAGGAATTTTCCAAATTGCTCATGGCATGATCGTTTGTGACCTATCTCAGGAGGCCATCTATGATGAAGCAACATGTCAGTGAGCCCAGCAAAACCAGCTCTGGGCTTTCCTCATGAGTGTTGTCAGTATTCTCCCTGCTGCTCCACACTTCTGAAGTACACTAAGCATCAGGGCCCATCTCCCCTCCCTCATTTCTTCCCCTTCCCCTTCCTACCTAGCCCTTTAGGCTAAGCTTAAGTGTAACAGTAGTTGTCTTGTGTGTGTGTGTTTTTTAAATAAAAGAAAACAGAAGGAAACCCCCCCCCCAAAAGATAAGCAATCTTTCTTTCTTTCTTTTCTACTCACATGTTTTCCAGCAGCTCTGGAAACTTGTTTAACTTTACATTCAGCAGAAACTAATAAACTTTTAATAGTTTTTTTTTTAAATACAGGATGTAGAGCCAAGATGGCAAATTAGGGGCAGCTATCCAACTCTCCCAACATTCCCTTCTAAACAACTTTAAACAAATCAAATTTTGGAGCAACAGAGCCAACAAAATATTGGGGTAAGACATTTTTTCCAGGCAAAGGAAACTTCAGAGGTCAACAGGAGAAGTCTGCGACATCAGGGTGGAAGGCTGTCTAGGTCCCACCCACCTAGCAGTGGCAACAGTGGCCACAGCAGCAGCAGTAGCAGCTTTGGGAGCTCTCAACCCAGAGAGAGTAAGGAGTTCTGCTTAGAAAGAGATTATAGGGAACCCTTTGCTGACACTGGGTACAGCTAGTGCTGACTGTCAACACTATTGCCCATATGCAGTTCTGAGTAGCAGTTCCAGGGTGGAGAGGAGTGCTGAGGGTTGGTCACAAAGGAGCAGGGGCTCTGGTCATAGTTCCAAATTAAAAAGGAGCACTAGCAACTATAGGGGACCAGGGATCCTTCCTGGGTAAAGAGTAGAGCATAGATCAGGAGATCAGTGACCATACCTCTTCTTAGATCACGCCACCTTGGAAGCACTTGCATACTCCCAGAACTAACTCTGAAAACAGTAGCATGAAAAAGCCTGAAGCTTGAGACAGTGCCTCCCTAACCTCCGGTAAGCAAAGCCTAACTTTAATACAAAGTTCAAAGTCAAGAAATAAACTGGGAAAATGAGCAAACAACAGTAACAACAAAGAACTTGACCATAAAAAGTTACTATGGTGGCAGGGAAGACCAAGATATAAACTCACAAGAAGACAGCAATGTGAAACAGCTACCAAAAAAATCCTCAAAGAAAAATGCTAATTGGACCAAACTCAACAAGAATTCCCGGAAGAGTTAAAGAAAGAGATAAGAAAGATAGAGGAGAAACTGGAAAAAGAAATGAGAGTGATGCAAGAAAATTATGAAAGAAGAATTAGCAGGCACAAAAATTCACTGAAGAGAACTCCTTAAAAAATAGAATAGGCCAAATGGAAAAAGAAGTACAAAAGCTCACTAAAGAAAATAATTCCTTAAAAACAAAAATTGGGCAAATGTGAACTAATGATTCCAGGAGACATTAAGAAGCAATAAAACAAAGTCAAAAGAGTGAAAAAAAAAAAGAAAATGTGAAATATATCATCAAAAAAAACTTACCTGGAAAATAGATTGAGGAGGGATAATTTAAGAATTATTGGATTACCTGAAAGTCATATTCGATGAAAGAGCCCAGATATCATATTTCAAGAAATTATCAAGGAAAACTGCCCTGATATCATTGACCCAGAGGATAAAATAGAAATTGAAAGAATTCACCAATCACCTCCCAAAAGGAAAACTCCCAGGGAAGCTAGGTGGCACAGTGGATAGAGCACTAGCCCTGGAGTCAGGAAGACCTGAGTTCAAATGCAGCCTCAGACACATAAGAAGTACTAGCTGTGTGACTTTGGGCAAGTCACTTAACCCCAATTGCCTCACTCAAAAAAAAAAGAAAAGAAAAGAAAAGAAAGGAATGTTATAGCCAAATTCCAGAGCACCCAGGTCAAAGAGAAAATACTTCAAGCAACCAGAAAGAAACAATTCAAGTATCATGGAGCCATAGTCAGGATCCCACAAGATTTAGTTAAAGGAGCAGAGGGCTTAGTACTATAATATTCTAGAAGGCAAAGGAGCTAGGATTACAACCAAGAATAGACTACCCAGCAAAACTGAGCATAATCGTTCAGGGGAAAATGAAATAGGGGACTTTCAAGCATTCCTGATGACAAGACCAGAACTGAATAGAATATTTGACATTCAAACAGAAAACTCGAGAGAAGCATAAAAAGATAAACATGAAAAAGTAATCACTAAGGGACTCAATAAAGTTAAATTGTCTACGGGAAGATGATACTTGTTAATTCCTCAGAACTTTATCATTATTACAGCAGTTTAAAGGGAGTTTATATAGACAGAGGGCAAAGGTGCGAGTCAATTATGTTGCAATGATTTTTATGAAATGACGTGAGAAGGAGGAATGCACTGGAAGAAGGGAAAAGGGGAAGAATGGGGAAGTTTTTCTCACATAAAAAAAGCATGCAAATAAGAGTTGTTACTATGGAGACTGAAATAGGGGTGATAGCAGGCAATGCTTGAACCTCAGTCTCAACAGAATTGGTTCAAAGAAGGAAGGTGTGTGTGTGTGTATGTGTGTGTGTGTGTATGTTTACATGTATATATGTGTATGTGTGTGAATATGTGTGTGTATAAACTCGGTTGTGTTTAAAAATGTAACTTATCCAATAGGGAAATTGGAGGGGAAAGGTATTAGAGAAAAGGGGAGGACGATTAAAAAGGGGATAGATTAAGGGAAGCAGTGGTTAGAAGCAAAATAAACTTTTGAAGAAGAAAAGGGTAAAAAAGGAGGAGGGAAGAAACAAAACAAAGTGGGGTGGAGAGAAGTACACAGTGATTGTAACTATGAACGTGAAAGGAATGAGGTCATCCATAAAACAGAAACAGATAGCAGAATGGATTAGAAACCAGAATCAACAATATATTGTTTACAAGAGACACAATTGAAACAGAAAGACATAGACACAGAGTTAAAATAAAGGCCTGGAGCAGAATCTTGTACTTCAACTGAAGTAAAAAAGGCAGGGGTAGCAATCATAATCTCAAACAAAACAAAAGCAAAACTAGACCTAATTAAATGGAATAATCAAGGAAACTACATTTTGCTAAAAGTACCATAGACAATGAAGTAACATCAAAAATTTTTGCAGCAAGTTTCTCTGATAAAGGCCTCATTTCTCAAATATATACTGAGTATAGAACTGAATCAATACTTTTTCACAGGCTGTCTTCCATACCTTGAATGTATTCCTCCCTCACCTGTAGATGATGATTTATGTGGGTTTATTTCATATCCTGCAACTTCACAAAAGTTAATTGTTTTGACTAGTTTTTTAGTTGACTCTCTAAGGTTCTATAAGAATACCATCATATCATCTGCAAAAAATGATACTTTTGTTTCTTTATTGCCTATGTTTATTCCTTTGATTTCTTTTTCTTGTCTTATTGCTATAGCTAGCATTTCTGGTACAATATCGAATAACAATGGACATTGTTGCTTTACCTTTGCTCTTATTGAAAAGGCTTCTAGTTTATCCTCATTACAGATAATGCCTGCTCTTAATTTTGGATAGATACTACTTATTTTGATAAAAGCTCCATTTATTCATATGCTTCCCAGATTTTTTAAAAATAGGAATAGGTGTTGTATTTTGTCAAAAGCTTTTGAGGAGCAGATTATAAATTGGTATAGAGTTAGAAGAGAAAGTCAATTTAGGATGTATGTTAGGAACTTGGGAGTCTTGGGGGTTTGTGTCTGAGACTAGACTAGGAGAAGAACCAGGTGTGTGTGTGTGTGTGTGTGTGTGTGTGTGTGTGTGTGTGACACACAGAGAGAGAGAGAGACAGAGACAGAGAAGGAAGGAGGGAGGGAGTTTGAGGTGCACAGAAACTTGCTACAGTGGAAAGAACATTGTCTCTAGAGTCAGAAAAACTGTGTTCAATCCCACTTCTGCCACATACTCCCTGTGCTGCTTTGGTCAAAATAGTTTCCCTGGGTGTCAGTTTCCTCATTAATAAAACGAAGGGGTGGGGTTAGCCTAAATGATCTTTCAGGTCTCTTCCAGCTGTAGAGCTACGTATGATTTGAAGAAGAATGGAGAGAGAGAATTTTCAGCAACTGCAGAAGCTGGTATATCTGTTTTGTTCATTGAGTCCTGAGAGACTAAATGTGAAGCTTTGAGACCCAGTGACAGTTTTGGGGAGTATTGACAAATGGCCATTAATTAGATTTGATTCAGTACTATTTATCAACCAATCAACAAGCATTAAATGCTTACAATGTGACAGTATTGTGCTAGGTACTGAGTATCCAAATACATAGAATAAAATAATTCCTCTTTTCAAGGAGTTTACAGGGGGCATTATTATATAGAAATACATGTAAAAGAGAATAGATAAAAATAAATACAATGGTGATGAAATCACAAGTACTTTCCCTTTCCCTGAGTAGTTAAAGACAAAACAGTTAAAGGGAGAAAGCACCAGCATAGAAAGGCTTCATGCAGAGGTGGCACTTGAATTGTTTTTTAAAGGAAGTGAGGAATTTTATGAAGTAGAGGTGAAAAGGGCATGCATCTTAGGCACTGAGGAATGGCCAGTGCAAAGGCATGGAGATTGGAATTGGAAGGCCATGTGTGAGGAACAGAAAGAAAGCCAGTTTGACTAGATAGTAGAATACTGGTAGTGTAATGCAATATGTAATGAAGCTGGAAAGATAAGTTGGGGCCAGGTTGTGAAGGGCTTTAAAAGCTAAACAGAAGAGTTCATATTTTATCTCAGAAGCAATAGGGAGTCAGTGAAGTTTATTGAGTAGAGGAGTAACATGGTCACATAAGTACTTAAGGAAAATCACATTTATTTTGATTTTCTGAATTTATACTGCAAAAGAGAGCACTAGGCACAAGGAGGAAAGAGAAGAAACAGACCCGAGAGCTAAAGGCATAAGTGAGTATAAGTGGGTCCATGCCAGATACAGACAGAAAGTGCTATTGAAAAGAAATCTGGAAAGACAAGGTGGGGACACTGTATGAAAGACCTTTAATGTCAGAGGACATGAGGTAGAATCCTGACTTGGCTACTTAATTTTTGTGAGTCCTGAGGCAAGTGACCACCACTCTAATGCGGGGCTTGGACTAGTTGATCTCTAAGGTCCCTCCCAACTCTAAATCCAATGGTCCTCTGGATAACTGTCAGATCATGGAATAGGTATTTAGCTCTATAGTAAGTCCATAGTAATCCAAGGGGGAGAGATCTGCCTGTGATGGCAAATCCCCATGCCATCCTATGTAGTTCGGTTCTGCATCTGACTCAACCTTCTCTAGGGTGTAGCCTAAAGAAAGGATCTCACTTCACACATAGGTAGTATAAACAGGAGTGTGACTTCCTCTTCCATCCAACTAATTAATGCTTAAAATATTACCTTCGTTTGATTTAGAACAGTGATTTCATTGGTGTAGGAAGCTCCAAGAGGAGGAAGCCTGTCTGACCAAGGTAGGTCAGCACCTTTCAAATTACAATATTAGAGAGTTGCCCAAAGTGCTGAAGGGTTAAGCAACTTGCCCAGGGTCACACAGCCAGTATGTGTCAAAGAAAAAATTCAGGTGCCTTGGAGGGATATCACAACTCAATGTGGTACCTGTTTTATCAGACCCTTTTATGACAGCAGTTTTGGGTATAGTATTTGGGGGAAAGGGTGTGAGGGCTCATGTCCCTTGGGTGAAAGAGGAAGCCAAGAGGGAAAAGTGGAGGAACAAAGACCATAGATACATGCTTTACAATGTAGCCTTGGACTGTTTATACCCCCTGAGTGGGGGCGGGGGAGGGAAGTGGAGCAGGCCTTTCTGATAGCCCTCACCATCAACTCCCTTCATACTTCTTCCTTAGATTATGTGCCCTTCCCTTGCTTCCCCCATCCCCCCAACCCTTCTGTCACATTTCTGAGCCTGGGTTCACAATAAATAAGAGAATAAGATAGAGCAAAGACAAGAAAGTAAGAATATGAGTATATCTCTGGTGTTTGGGATTTTGTCATTGTTGTTTTAAATTCAAACCAAAGGTTAAAACACCACCACCACCACCATCACCTCTACCCATGCCCTCTTACCTATCCTTTCATAGGCCTCTCCTGTCCCCTCATCTTCTATGGCATTCCATAACCTGTTGACCTGATCACAGTTGATTGTGTCAGCATCAGGATCTGGAAGGAAAAGATGATTGGGTGAAATAGAAGTAGCATAGTGTTCTATCAAAAGAATCCTGAATCAAGAAAAAGAAGACCTGAGTTCAAATTCCTACTCTTCTGCTATCTGTGTGACTTACGATAAGTCACTTAACCTCTCTGAGCCTCCATTTATGCCTCTATAAAATGAAGCTATGGGCAGCTAGGTGGCACAGTGAATGGAGTGCCAAGCCTGGAATCAGGAAGACCTGAGTTCAAATCTGGCCTCAGGCTCTTACTAATTATGTGACTCTGAGCAAGTCTCTGAGCCCTGTTTGCCTCAGTTTCCTCAGCTGTAAAATGAGCTAGAGAAGGAATTGGCAAACTGCTTCAGTATCTTTGCCAAGAAAACCCTGGATAGAGTCACAAAGAGTCAGACAAGACTAAAAAACGACTGAACAACAACAAAATGAAGCTATTGAACTAGATAATTTCTAATATCCAGGTCAAAATTTGATGATCCTATGAGGAAGAAGGGGAAAAGAAATCTCTGGAACAGACAAGTAGAAAGAGGGCCCTCTTTCTGGGTGTGAGATTGAAGGGTTGAAGTTGAAAGAGGTTGAGGGATGATGAGGCTGAAGTAGAAGTCAGTCTCCACTCAATGAGTGCGATCTCTGTGATGGCCTTATGGTGCTGTCCATGGTGCTGTCCATGGTGCTGTCCATGGTACTGCCATGCTTACCGGGATACAAGTAGCCCAGCCTCTGGGCAGGATTTTGCTCTTAAACAGGGGCTGGGCCTGAACCCTGTGACTTTGTTTTAGGCCCCTAAGTGCCCTAGTTGGACCACACAATCTATATAGTCATACCAGTCAGAAAGTGTTTGAAGTAACTGCTAAGAATCATTTAGAGTTTGGAGTCACTGCTAAGAGGCAGCTAGGTAGTGTGGGGAATAGAGGGCTGGGCCTAGAGTTAGGAAGACCTGAGTTCAAATCTAGCCTCAGACACTTCCTAGCTGTGTGACTCCCCTCTGTCTGCCTCAGTTTCCTTAACTCAAATGAAGATCATAATAGTACCTACCCTCCAAGGTTGTTGTAAGGATCAAATGAGATCATATCTATAAAGTACAGAGTGCAGTGCCTGGTACATGGTGGATACTTAATAAATGCTATTTCCTTCTACTTTCTTTTGCCATAAAAACGTGAGTCAGATCAAAAACAAATGGAAAGCAGAAGATGAGGGGGGTAGCAACATGGTACAGTGAAAAGATCACTGGACATAAGAGACAGAAGATCTCTGGTTCCATTCAAGATCTGACTCCATTACTTACTTGCAGTACGGTCTTGGGCAAAAAAAGTTAGACACATCTGAGACTTAGTTTCTTTACTTGAAAAAAAATTACATGAATTGATTAAAATAGATGATTTCTAAGATCCTTGTGGCTCTATCATTCTTGATTCTAAGAAGCAAGGAAGAACATGTTTCTCAGATACTCCAGAATCTTCAGCAATTCTGTATTGTCCCATAGATAAAATACAAACTCATCTTGGAAGTTAAGTGTTTTTGGTATAGTCTGGCTACAGCCTACCTTTTTAGATTCTTTTTTTAAAAATTAATTTTCTTCATATATTCTCTGTTCCAGGCAAATTGGCTGACTTGTTTGTCCTCCAACAGCATTCCATCTCTCATCTCCCTGCTTTTCACAGTTTGTCCCCCATGCCTCTTGTAATGTACTTCCTTCTCATCTCATCCACTTAGAATATTTAGTTCTCTTCAAAACTCAAGTACCACTTCCTACAGGAAGTCTTACTTGATTGCCCTAGGTTTTAGTATTCTCTCCTTCTTCAAATTATTATGCATTTACTTATCTGTGTAAATGTTTTATTCCCTTGGTTGAACATAAATTCCTGGAGAGCACAGACTATTTTTTCATTTTATCTTTGTATCCCCAGCACCAAGTTAAAGTACATTGCTTTGCACAAAATAGATGTTTAATAAAGGATTGTTGTGGTTTCCTTTGATTGTAAGGGATTCCATGGAAGAACATACAATCTGAAACTGGCAGGAGATTATGAAGGTCATCTCATATAACCCCTTCATTCGACAGCTCAGGAAATGAAAGCACAGAGAAGTTTAGTGAACAGGCATGTAAGTAGTTGGTAGGAAATCTGATATTCTTTTTTTTCCCTCCAGCTCTCTTCATTTAATTTTCTTTTTTTGTATATGTGTGTGTAAATTTTTAAAATTTATTTTTAACTTAAATACAAAATGAGAAAATAAGAAAGAATGTTTCCATGTACACAGAAGAATATGAGGATTCAATATAAAATAATGAATTTCCATTTCAAGAAAACCTATATAACAAATAATACACATTGTTTTCAAAGCTACCCAGCTTTTTTTTTTTTCTGCTTCCTTCTAGGTTTTCTTTTGTTCTCTGCTGTGCACTTTTTACTTTATTTTTCCCCTCCTCTCCAGAAGGCTACAATTAGATGAGTGTATATACAAATATAAAAATATCTATAAATATATGCATATATATGTATATAGATACATATATGTATGTATACATATATATTATGTAAGATTGTACTATGCATATCTCCATTTGTAATTTTCTTTCTCTGGAGGTGGATAGCATCTTCTTGCATAGGTCCAAGTCTTCCCATGTTTTTCTAAATCAATTAGCTCATCATTTCTTATATCACAGCAGCATTCCAACACAATCATATCCTATCTAAGAGATTGTCTATGAAGGGTTTTTTCCCTGCTTTCGTTCTAGTCTTGGCTACGTTGGCTACATTAATATTTATACAAGGGAAATCTCATACCCAAACCAAGATCTTCTAATTACAAAACCAGCACCTTTCCCACTAAACCATGCTAAAGGCTGGGGGATGGTGTAAGGAGGTGGTGGGGTAGGATGTGTTTGAGTCCTTTGGAGGCATCACTCACCTGAAGAGTACTCAGTCTCTTCTTCTGCTGTCAGGGGCTGATCATAAAAATGCAAAAGTTGTAGGGGGTTGACGTCACTTTGGAGCAGCCCCAGGTAGCTTCCTTCTGCCAATGGCCCAGATTCCATGGCTGCACACTGATCGGTAGCTGAAACAAACAGAACATACTTTCTTAGCAATATAGCACTGAGTCAGCCTATTACCCACCACAAGGACCCCATTGGGTAGTAGGGAACATAAGTCAAGGGAAGTGGACAAATATTTATTAAATTCATATTGTGGACCTACAGAACACAGAATTAGAAGTCTCATGGTCCCGACATCCAATGAATTTACAATTTAGTTGGGAGATAAGGTAGAAACCCATGAAACAAAGAGCAATACAAGACAGTCACATTCTCTATATCCAAGTGTTACACAGTGGGATCCAGATGTGAAATACTATAGAAATGTGGAAAAGAAATCAACGGAAGATAGAGGGAAGATTTTATGGAAGAGATAGAACTTGAGCTAAGTCTTGATCTAAAGGATCTCTAAGGTCCCTTCTAGCTCTAATATTCTTCTTCTTCTTCTTTTGGAGGCAATTAGGGTTAAGTGACTTGCCCAGGGTCACACAGCTAGCAAGCATCTGAGGCCAGATTTGAACTCAGGTCCTCCTGACTTCAGAGGTGCTGCTTTATCCTTTGCCCCACCTAGCTGCCCCTAATATTCTAAAACATTCTAGTGTATTGGTGAAAAAGAGAAGGGGTTCTTTGAGGGGAGGAGTTAAGAGCATGAACAAAGGGACAGAAGAGGAGGGATTTGTAGTGACTGAAGGTGCAGTCATAAGAAATAGCTCTACTCAACAAATTCCAGTGGCTCCCTGTTATCTTTAAAACCAAATATGAACTTCTTTAGTTGGCACTTAAAGCTGTGCATGATCTGGACCCTCTCCCTCTTTCCAGTCTTCTTACACACTAATCACTTCCACACAATCTACAGTCCAGAACCAGTGGCCTCTGTACTATCAAGCACACAAGGTGCTCCATCTCTTGTCTTGGTATCTTTGTATGGGTCATCTCCAATGACTCCTTCCTCATTCCTCCCTCTTAGAAACCTTCCAGTTTTAACTCAAATGAAAACCTTTTCCAGACCTTCTAGTGCTTTGTCTTCTGAGGTTATCTTCCCTCTACTACAGGGGTTCCTCACCTTTTGGGTGTGTGTGTGTGTGATGGGCCTTTTGAGAGTCTGGTAAAACCCATGGACCCCTTCTTGGAATGCTTTTAAATGCATAAAATAAAATACATAGGATTACAAAGGAAAACAATTATATTGCAATGTAGTTATCAAAATATTTTTTAACACCAGCCACCTCTACTATATATTCATATTAATGTATGTGTTGTCTCCCTCATTAAAATGAAAGTGCCTTGAGGTCAGGTCCTGTTTTTGTTCTTTCTTTGTATCTCCATTGATTAGTACAGTGCCCAACACTGACATAGTAAGCATTTATTAAAAGCTTTTTGATTGATTAATAGCACATACATTTACACCTCACTTTGTAATCTGAGCTCCTCTCACAATAATCATGCAGATAAGAGGAAAAGAAACTAATGACCCCTCCTGCCTGATTATACGGTTATCCCTTCCACGTCACGACTTTCTGCATTGAAGTTTCAATATATCACGGGTCAGCATAAGAAATCAAGTGAGATTTTTTTGGTAGTTTTGAGGAAGCTGCAGTCAGCACCCAAAGGCCACCAGATGACACAGAAAAAGTTTAGAAGCTCAGAAATGCATAAAATACATGTATAGTATTGTATAATATCAATATATTTTCTCTTTTAGTATTATAATAATTCAGACTTCCTCTCTGTAAACCTCCTGGTTTACCTATATGAAGGGAGGGCCAAAAATGTTTACACAGATTTTCCATGGGGGTGCTGCACCCCTCACCTCTGCAATGTGGAAGGGATGACTGTACTGATACTTTCTAACAACTTTCCCCAATCTGGTAAGTCCTAAAACCAAGCACAGCAGAGAGGTTACCCCAGCTCCTCACAGAGAAACAACTTTTCCTTCTTGTGGGCCAGCCTTTGCAAAGGCAGCCTCTTCTATAAAAGAGTCAGGGTGGAGGCTGTCCTCACACACACACACACACACACACACACACACACCAGCTGTGTGGGAGGGGGCAACTATCTGTGACCAACAGAAGAAGAACTGAGAGTGTATCGCTGTCCAATTTCTGGAACGGAAGGAGGCTGTATAGCATTGTGGTTGATGCCTAGTCTAGGAGGACTCCAGGGGGTTATTGATTAGACATGAAGAACTCAATCTGTTTTAGCACCTTAAGTGAGGGAGGGATCCTATCCGCCCCATGCCCCAAGGCCACCCATGTCTTTCCCCAAAGGCTATGTCATTTGCTTTCGACTTTTTTCCTCTCCAGACATGGTGTCATACAGAGCATTGTTTTAGGTTCTAGGTCAGCCTTGTGGGACAAATCACTTCACCTTTCTGGGGCTCAAATTTCTTATCTGTTAATTGGAAATAATAATATCTGCCCTAACCTACTTCATGGGGTGATGTGATGATCAAATAAAAAAATAATTGTAAACCAACCTTAAAACCTATGAAGCAAAAAATACAAGGATATTATCATTACTACTACCACCACCACCACCACCACTATTAATCTTATTTTCATATTTTTGAGGAGTTCAGATAAAAGTTCCTGGGATAAATAGGATCATAATTTTAGCCTTTTATATTAATGTTCTGTGGACTATGGATAAAAAACTGCCTTTTTGTAACTGAGTAAAAATATTGGGATAATAATGATGATGATCAGCATTACCAACTACTTCTATTTGTCATATTAGAGAGGCTAAAGGGGATTCCAACATCTCCTAACTTGTTCCAATGTGGCCTCTTAATTTTTTTTTTTGAATCACTGAGAATTCCCATTAGCAAACCTATATTCAAGAGTTAGAGGAAAAATGTAATCCTAAGGTTAAATACTTTATCCTATTTTGGGAATTAGCCATCATTTGGGCTTATCTGCAGAATAAATGCCCATTGAATGAAAGGAGAGAATCAGTTTCAACAAGGGCCTCATAAGACTTGAACTTTGACAGCTTGTGTAGTCAAATACAGAGCCAGATCATTGATCTGAATACCCAGGCCATTCTAGGTTACTGACCCAATCAAGGAGTAAGAAGATGTTTGTGAGGTCAGTCTAACCTGAAAAGATCTCTTGTTCAACCCTGGAGCAGTGCTGCTCCCTTTGACCAATACTCCTTTATTTTCTCACGAGTTCAACATCTGTTTGGCCTTTGGGCCATGTCTGCAGAAGCTCAGAAAAAAGTGGCTACAGGTAGTTTTGTTTACTGAGGCATTCAGCCTGTCTCAGCTCCAGTTTCCTGCTTCTCTTCTCACACTCTTACAATAAAGGGGAGAGGTCAAGTAACAAACTGATTATATTTGGGAGTCAGGTCAGTTGTTTCCACACTGAGCTACTTCTCTTCTGCAGATATCTCTATTGAACCCCAAGGTTCACACCTGGTTTACCTAAACAAACCTTACTATCAACCTTGACTTTACCCTTCATTTGCAGGAAATACTAGCAGCTATATGGAGTGCTTGCTCCCTCCTGCCTTTATTTCTCCTTTTGAGATCCTTTACAGAAAACACTAAGCTGATAGTGTTTTTAGGATGTCCTCTTCTAAAAGCCTTTCTGCTCTCATTCCCATCTCTACTCTCTGAAGTGTTGGCTTAGATTCTCCATTCTTCAGAATGGCATTGCTCATTTCCATCATAGCTAACATCTAAGTACCCCTACCCTCTTCCGCTATAATCTCTATTTTCCAACCTCCTTCCTAGCTAGGAATCTTCCTCTAAATAACAAGATTGAGAGCTGTAAATGTACAGCTCCTACATTTTGTAGAAGAGAAAACCGAGGCCCAGAGAAATTAAGTGCTTTGTCCAAAGCTACACAGTAATAATAATAATTAGAGCTAACATTTAAATAGCTAACATGTGCCAGACACTGTGTTAAGAGCTTTACAATTACTATCTCATTTGATCCTCAGAGCAACCATGGGAGGTAAGGTGCTATTGTGATCTCCATTTTACAGATGAGGAAACTGAGGCAGACAAGAATTAAGTGACTTGCCCAGAGTTACCAAGTTAGTAAGTGTGTGATGATGGATTTGAACTCAGGTCTTCCTGATTCCAGAATCAGTACACTGTGTCACCTAACTGCCCTATCCCAAGGCTCCATCACAAGCCCACTTTTCTTTTCTTTCTATGCTCTCTTTTTTGGTAATCACATTAGCTCTAATGGATTTGATTATGATCTCTGTGCAGACCTTAGATGTCCCAGATCTATATATTCAGCTCTCCTTTCTCTTCTAAGCTCCTATCATGTATCTTTGGCTCATTTTTTTGACATCTCAACTTGAATGTCCTTGAGACTTCTCAAATTCAACATGTCCAAAATAGAACTTATTATTTTTCTTCCCAAACCTACCCTCATCCTAACTCCCCTATTTCTGTCAAGAGTACTACCATTCTTCTAGTCTTCCAGGTTTGTCATCTAGTAGTCAATCTTGACTCTACTTTCATTTACTCTTCAAATTCAACCCTTTGCCAAGTCTTGATCATCCTACCTTCAAAACATTACCTGAATCCATCTCTTTCACATCACTCACATGGCCACTACCCCTTCTCTCCACCCTAATTCACACCCTCATCACTCCTAACTGAGCTTCCAACATCCAGCCTCTCACCTCTCCAATCTGTTCTCTGAACAGATGCCAAAATGATATTCCTAAAACACAAATCCAACCATGTCATCTCTATGCTTAAGATGTCTCATGGATTTCCCATTGCCTCATAAACTAGAAACTCCTCTGTTTGTATCAAATAAGATAACAAGAGCTTTATAAACCTTAAGGTGCCATAGAAAGGTTAGTTATTATTTTGCTCTGTTTTGCATTTAAAGTCCTGTATAATTTGGGTAACCTTTCTTTCTAAGCTGATCACCCACTATTTTTTTTTTTGGATTATATTCTCTACTTTCCAGCCAAATTGACCTATTTCCTAGTCTCCATACACAACATTCCATGTCTTATCTGCATGACTGTATAATTCTTCTTGTGTGCTATT